TACTGGGCCTCCCCGGTGGTGCAGCGGTTGAGCGCTGGGTTGCGAAGCTGCCGGTGGCCTCTGAGGCGCCAGTTCCATCCCCGGCTGCTCCCCGGCCACCGGAGGAGGGTCCCACATGGCGCGCAGACCTCTCCTGGCGCGCAGACCTCTCCTGCCACCCGCTGCTCCCCTCAGCAGTGTACTTCGGTCCTTCTACCTGCTCTGCTCCCCACTCTGGCTCTGGTGAATTCTCTCACCCTCCCGCACTTCTGACTGTACCCAGTGATTGTATGTATAAATAAATAAATAAATAAATAAATAAATAAATAAATAAATAAATAAATAAATCTTTTAAAAAAAATGTACAAATTATATTCTGACTCATGCAAGTTTATAGAATCCAGGAACTGACCTGATATGTGTGAGAATCTTTATTCAGCCCCTGCTGATTTCCTTCTCACATGCTCTTCTCCAAGCCATCACCCTGGAGACTGGCCAAGGGCAGGGCTCCCTCTGGGTGCTCATCCAAGGCTATGAGGCTTCTCCATCCACAGCTGCACTGTCAACATAAGAAGCCTCTTCAATCTCTGTAGCAGGAGAGGGATAATGGACAGTAATGAGTCTGCTTCATCGCACCCAGAATGACAGATGCCAATTCTTTCTAAGTCCATGCTCTACAGCTGACACCTGACACATTGTACCCAAATGAACAGGCACATGTAAGGAAGCAGATGTAATGTTTAAACACCACTATTTTGTGACCCACACTGCAGTAATGTTTACTAATAGTAACATTGAACATTTCAGAACACCTGATGTGTGTTAGATACTTTCTCTGATTTGTCTGTATGGGACCTGCAAATCTTGACAATTCTAGGAGGATGCCTCATGCAGTTGTCTCCCTCTCACACATGAGAAGCTAAAGTTACATGATAAAATTATTTAAACACTTTGATGCCAAATCACACTTTTACATAGAGCAAACCAGTAACCACCCTACACGCCTGCATGAGGAAGCTGTGGCACTTCAGCTTGGGAGTATGAGCTTGGAGACCACTCAGAGAAAAGATTGAATCTATGGGATTTTGTGAAAAGGAAAACATTTTCTAACCATGATTATAGTGGTAATGCAAATTGAATGATAAAACAAATTGTTAAAAGTACTCAATAAGACATCTTCCACAAAGATCAGAAATGAAAATAAAGTATAAGTGAAATTAAATTTCAACATGGAAAGTACCTTGAGCTTTACTATTTACAGTAACCAAGATATACAAGAAACCCAAATGCCTCAAAACAGACAAATGCATGAAAAAGCTATGGAATATTACTCAGCAAGACATCTTCCACAAAGATCAGAAATGAAAATAAAGTATAAGTGAAATTAAATTTCAACATGGAAAGTACCTTGAGCTTTACTATTTACAGTAACCAAGATATACAAGAAACCCAAATGCCTCAAAAAAGACAAATGCATCAAAAAGCTGTGGAATATTTACACAATAGAATATTACTCAGCAATCAAAAAAGAAAAACTGATGCCATCCATGGCAACATGAATGGAGCTGGAAGGGATTTTGCTAGCTGAAATAAGTCAGAGGGACACAGATAAATATCAGATGAACTTACTCTTGTGGTATACAGGGAAATCAAAAAAAGTCAAGAAAAAGTCAAAACTAGCAAGCTGACCATAGATGAGGCATACAACAAAGGAGAGGAATAGAGAGCATTCAGAACAGAGGAGCAAGAGGGGTTAAAAAAAAAGGAACGGTGGTGATGGTTCATGAGAAATTTGGTGGTGGGAAAACTATGGTGACTACAATGACGTAACAAAGAAGTTTTCATTAATAATTATTTTTTTAAATAAAGAACTTAGTGCTGCAAAGATGTAAAGATTTAAATTAGAATATGTTTGCTGTTGGGAAGGCAAAGTTTTGAGACACAGTTTTACAATTTATTTTTTTTTTGCTTTTTTTAATTTTGGTTTATATTCCCCATGCAAATGAAAAACCCCTTATTTTGATCCCAATTCCCCCTTTCGCCATACCCCTCTCATATTGTGTCTCTGGGTCATAGTTGTTTGTTGAATTTGATTTTTTCTTTCTTATAATTATTCTTTTTTCTGGTCCTTTATTTAGGTCTTCTAGATTCCTGCTATGAGTGAGACCATCCGGTATTTTTCTTTTACTTTCTGGCTTATTTCACTGAGCATGATCCCTTTCCAGCTCCATCCATGTTGCTGCAAATTGCATGTGTTCATCTTTTTTGAATGCTGAGTACTATTCCGTGGTGTATATGGACCACATCTTCTTGATCCAGTCATCTATTTTTGGACATTTGGGTTGTTTCCAAAGCTTAGCTATTGTAAACAGTGCTGCTATAAACATAGGGGTGCAAGCAAAAGAATGAAACTTGACTACTACCTCACTCCATGCACAAAAACTAACTCAAAATGGATTAGAGAACTAGACACAAGACCTGAAACCATAAAATATATAGAAGGAAATATAGGCGAAACACTACGTGACAAGCACCTCAAAGACATCTTTACAGACACATCACCCAAAGCAGTGATAGTGAAGGCAAAAATAAATGGATTTACAATTTAATTATATTTACCAGGTTTCAAAAACAACTCCCTATATTAACCCAAATGAAATAAAAACTTATGTTTGCACAAAAATTTTAGCCAGGCTTTCATGTCAGCTTTGTCAATAATCACCAGACTAGAAACAATATAAAAGGTTCTCACCAGAGGTAAGAAGAAAACAAACATAAAGTTCACAACAAGGAATACTATTTTGCAATTTAAAATTCCACTCTAGATGCAGGTGACAATGTGCATGAACTTACGCTGAATTATGTTAAGTGAGAAATGCCAGATTCATATGCTATGGATTCTAAGACTCTAGTGAAGAACATTCTTACAAAGGCAAAATTATATGAAATAAGCAGATCAGTAATTATGACAGCGCTGACTCCAAAGAAGCTGAGGGACCAAAACCTTTGGAAATACATTAAGACTTGAGCATACTACTCTCTGCAACTGGTTAATTAAAAAAGAAAATAATCTGAAAGAACAATGCAAACACATCTGTACACCATAAAAATATGTGATGTGGTTACTCAGGCAGCTTGATTATTGCATCATTAGGAAAGTAGAGTGAGGAGCCTGAGGTGCCCACATAGGGGACGTCCCCTGAGAACTTCATGTCTTTATAATCCACTCTCAGTCCCAGTCCACAGACCCGCGGTGACTCTGGTAGCCTTGTTTACGATGGCCAGACTTTGGTCCAGCCCCTTTGAACATCATGTGTTCATCTGAATGCTGATGGTTTGCACATGCAGACCTTCCTCGGATCTCTGGATTTCCTACGAACTTGCAGCCATGGCCAAGGAAACACGACAAGGTAAAAAGGATAGTGAATAACTGAAATGAAAACCCCTAAATGTTTAAGTTGTTTTACATACATAGGTTTGTGACTTGCAAATACATTTCCGTGTCCTGAAAGAAAGAGGTAATGTTATTACGGCTATTTTATCAATAAGGGGGAAGCAGTGACCCTTCCAAAACCACAAGAAAACACATGGTAGATTCAACTTGAACCCATGTTAATGATTTTTCCTCCATCCTTCCCTGCTCTAGAGACCTTGGAACCTGCACCACTACTGCACAGAACTTCTCCAACACAGTCTGTGTGTTATTCCCTGGCTGGAGTTTTATTACACACTTCAGGATTGACTGTCCTTTGCTTTCAAGAGGAAGGTAAGCTTCTATATTCAATATGCTTTTAATGAAAGCTGTAATTCATGCAAAAGTTTAGGGCAGCTCCTGTGGATCCCCAAACACTGTTTTTTGAGGAGTGGACATGATGAGTAATTGTGAAAGAGTTTTGTCTAATTTAATTGAAATGTAAGAAAGAGGATCATACTTGGGAAACAATTAACTCTCAAGTCTCAGTTTAAACACATTAAAGAATTAAACAGGTGAAGTGATCCAAAGTGATTCCTGATTCACCAGTTTAGAATTCTAGAAAATTTATACATGAAATTCTGTATTGAATTTCACATATTAGGTTCGGAAAGTTTGAGATACACACCCTTGCTGTAATGAAACAATGACCGAGGTATATAAACATTAGGTTTATTAAATGTATCCTCAGTTAACTCTCTATTCCTTTATTTGCTCTTGCTTTAGGACATCTGATTTCTAAACAACCCCCATGGTGAACACCACAGAAGTGACCAAGTTCATCCTCCTAGGACTGACCAAAGTGACAAATCTCAGAGTCCCACTTGTAATGGTCTTCACTCATATATGCCATAAATGTCATCGGGTAACTGGGGATGATCCTGTTGATTCTTTTGGACTCTCATTTCAAAACGCCCCTGTTCTTCTACTCAGTAACCTGTCTCTGATGGACTTCTGTCACTCTGCAGCTGCCATCCCTGTAGTCATGGCTGGGTTGTTCATAGGAGTTTAATCTAATTAATTCAGATGCAGGAAAGGGCACCAGACTTGGGAAACACTCCACCCAGGAACAAAATTTGGCTACGCAATGACTATATGTGGAACTATGAATAAATGACTCATTCTCTTGTGCCTGGCTATGTGAGGAAAATCATGACTACCCAACTTCATAAATTGTTGAGAAGAATCGGTGAACACAGCTGTAGTGCCTGAAGCTTGTCTAAGGGAATTTGAGCTCTTATTGTAAATTCCAGAATTGTACAGTGAGACTTTTTCACTAAAATTTCAAGTCTCAGTTTAAGAATGAAAAACTGGTGATATGATCCATGATGATTCCTTATTCATCAAGTTAGAATTCTAGATAATTTATACATGAAATTTTGCATTCGTAGTCATGTTTTAGGTACAGAGTCTGGAGACACATACTCTTGCTATTATGAAATAATAATCCTAGCATGTAAGCATTTATGTTTTGTTGTAATTTTGATATCTAACTCTCTGTTCCTTTATATCTTATTGTTGTAAGTCATCTGATTTCTAAACAGCCTCCATGGAGAACACCACAGAAGCAACACAGTTCATCCTCTTAGGACTCACCAAAACCATGAAACTACACGTCCCACTTGTAATGATCTTCACTCTTATATATGCCATAAATGCCATCGGGAACCTTGGGATGATCCTGTTGATTCTGTTGGACTCCCGTCTCCACAAGCCCATGTACTTCTTCCTTAGTCACCTGTCTCTCATAGACCTCTGTTACTCTACAGCTGTCACCCCTACGGTCATAGCTGGGTTGCTCATAGGAGACCTGGTCATCTCCTACAATGCATGTGCTGCTCAGATGTTCGTTTTTGCATCATTTACCTCTGGGGAATTTTACCTCTTGGCTGCAATGGCCTATGACCGCTATGCAGCTGTGTGCAAACCCCTGCATTACACCACCATCATGCCCAAAGGTGTGTGCATAGGACTGACTATAGTCTGTTATGCTGGTGGTTTCCTCAATGGCATCATCCATGTTGGGGAAACATTCACTCTCACGTTCTGCAGCAACAATAAGGTCCATCACTTCTTCTGTGATGTTCCAGCAGTCATGTCTCTCTCTTGCTCTGATAAGCGTGTTGCTGAGATGGTTCTTGTTTATGTAGACATCTTCGTTATATGTTCTCCTCTTTCAGTTATCTTTGTATCCTACGTGTTCATTTTCATCGCAATCTATAGGATGCGCTCAACTGCAGGCCATCAGAAAGCTCTGTCCACCTGTGCTTCTCACCTCACTGCTATCACCATCTTCTTTGGGCCGATCATCTTTATGTACTTACAACCCAGCTCCAGCCATTCCATGGACAGAGACAAAATTGCATCTGTGTTTTATACTATGGTCATCCCCATGCTGAACCCCATAGTCTACAGCCTGAGGAACAAGGAGGTCAAGAATGCATTCAAGAAGTTGGGTGAGAAAATAAAATTTTCTTTGGGATTGTGACTTTAACATTGTAAGGGGTTAATTAGCTTTCATGCCTCTCGATCGTCTTCATGTACTGACTTATAATTTACAATACACTTAAGTCCTGAAATGACGCCCTCACCATTTCTAAAGGCTATTGTCTAGAATGAGGAAAGCTGACAACAATGTACATCTAACAGAATGGCACAAACTGAGGGGAAGCACAAAATGTATGTTTCTACATTTGAAAAATGCGTATTAAGGATATTTGCCTTATTCCCTTGTTCTGCATGTATTTTCTCTGCTGTGGGCATTACAACCACATGGGCACATCAAATTAGCAAAGGTAAATGAGAGTATTATTTTTAACAAAACTAATTGAACTATTGAATTGGGATATTGATATATAAAATATATCACAGTGTGTAACTGAAAAATATCTAAGACTCCTAATTTAAGGGGCAAGGGATACACTCATAGTTCTCTGTGTTTATTTCATTGGCATATATTATTGACAGAATATAGACTTAACATCATACATGAATCAAAAGTTCTGATTGCTTGAGTCATTTTGTGAGCTTATATTTTCACATTATACATTTCAAAAGGAAAATAGTCATAACAAATACAGGAAGAACAGTACAAGCATTTTCAATTTCTTCCTAGATGACTCCAAATTTGCACACATTGAAAAAATGCAGTGAAACACTAACAATGTGTTTAAAGTCTACAAGTACTTCTGATGATTAACCTTGCTTATTAAGCCTTAATTTAGTTAAGTTTCATTGTTTCTTTTCACTTGTCCAGTTCGTTGCACAGTTCATTCACGATGATTTTTTTTCAAAATGTCCTCACAACTCCAATCAGTGATTATGTCCTTACGATTTTATTCTTTCTGGCTCCTAATGTGGACTGTGAAGGTTCTGCTTCAATGACATTCTATCCCAGATGTTGTCTGCAATAGCCATCTTCAGTAATGTTCATCACCCACCAAATGGATTGATATTTTGTAAGGGAAGTGAGAAAATCAGGCTGTTTTTCACCTTCCACACCACAGACAGCCCATACCTGAAATGCTCAGGTGGTGACCAGAAAACCATTGGGGTACTGTCTGGGCCATTTTAGTGCCTCTCACTGACCTGTATCACCAGCCCCGATGGGGGATGTCAGGTAAATGATGTCCTCACAAGGTAGCCAGGTTGGGTGAAGTTGAGAGCCAACACTCCCAGAAAGGAATACAGGTAACTATTAAGCAACCAAAAAGGTCTCAAAAAAGACAAGTAAGCCTCTTAAGGTCAGTAAGCCTCTTAAAGTTACCCATGTCCAAAAGTGAGTGGATCTACTGAGAGCCGGTGTAGGTCATGCCAAGATACATACACAGCCCAATGCCTACTTGTTAGAGTTGTGGATACAAGTGTGAGAGGACCAGGCATAAGGAGACAGCCTACAGTGAAGGGAAAAGCTGGGGACTCCCGGGCCCAAGCACATGCCTTTGCCTGGAGGATTATTTGCTGCCAACCCCAGCCTGGGAGGAGACCCTGTTTGCTTTGGATAGGATAAGGGCCAGGGACACATCCACAGGGTTGGGTATGGACTGGAGGCCACATGTGGAGCTTGCTGTCCACTGGTCCCCAAACAATATGCAAAGGGTTTTGGACTTAGTAGATATGGGGGCAGATTGTACTCTGTTATATGGGATCCAGACAAGATTCAGACATCTGATTGTAACACCTGAAGGTTATGGAGGCCGGAGTGTCAAGGTGACAGCAGTATAAATTGTATGTGTTGTCAATCTCGGTGTACATCCTGAGGGTGGATATACTACATGGCTTGTGGCTGCAAACCACAGCTGGATAATTTTGACTTAGGAAATGTGGGTGGAAGACACTGTTGCACATGCATGCGAGTGTCCACCCACACAACTGCCAGTCCAGAGGTGAGTGACCAATACTAAACAGTATCGGTTGCCAGGTGGCCACAGAGAGATTACGGGCACAATGGCAGAGTTGGAGAAAAGAGCATTGTGTGTGCTGCCCACAGCCTCTATAATTCGCGTGAGTGGCTGGTGAAGAAGCCTGATTTCTGTTGGCATATAACAGTACATTCCTGAGATGAAGAAAGTGGTGCTACCCTTGCTTGCAGCAATGTCTTCAGTGGCTGAATTGATGTGCTGTTTGAGTAATGACCTGGGCACATAGCACTTCGTAGCTACTCTAGCTAATGATTTCTTTTCCATTGTCCCGGTACCAGAATGTCTAAACCACTTTGCCTTCACATGGAAGGGCCACAGTGGACATTCACTGAGTTTCCTCAGGATCACCTGCACAGATCTAATCTTTGCCACGGGCTGGTGGCAGCTGACTTAGCCCGGTGGGAGAGGCCATCCTTGGTGCACTTATCCATTATGTTGATGACACCTCATTGACCAGAGACTGTCTTGCAGATTTGGAAAAACTGTACCTCTCCTGCGGACACACCTGAAAATGTGTGGCCTGGGCTGCGCAGCATCCTGCTACAGTTCCTATTTCTTTTGCAGGTTATGAGTACAGTGTCCTCCACTCCTCATCAAAGGAACTTGCAGAAGAATGACACATAGATTGTACAGTGAAAAAATCCTGATGAGGTGGAATTTAAGGAAATGAGTAAATCAGGCTATTTTTCACCTTCCACACGACACACATCCCATACCTAAAATGCTCTGTTTCTCACCATTCGGACATCTAGCAAACAACCATGGGCCATACATTAGCAACAATGTCTTGGTGTGTGACTGTGGGCTACTAGCGTGTAAAAGGGGCTAGAGAGTGGACCTCCTGTTCTGCCTCTCTTAGTGCTGAAGTCTCTCCATTGATCTGTCTGCCTGACTGTGTATATGGTCCTTTGTCTCTTCATAAAAGCTCTGCAAACTCTACCCAAGGCTCCAAATTTTCTTCTCCTCTACAAGAACTGACAGTGAAACTGGCCTGGCCTAAAATGGCTGCGAGACACATGGCCTAACTCTGTAATAGCTCCCTCTGCACTAGACTCTACATTCCCAGACGTCTATCAGTGATATGGTGTTCATTATAGCATGATCCTTGGACTTAAATATGTGTGTTGAAGAGTAGATTCTCAGTAAAATTTGACAACTGATGCATGAAATAAAGGTTGGAGTCTAATTGTCCCATGTGCCGATTCTTTGAACGACTGATTATAGTGCTTCCCCTATAACTTAGATCTGCCAGACTTCAATAGTACTCCAAGCTATTGAACAGGATTGCTTCTTAGAAATCCAGCTCAAGAGTGTCATCTCAAACCACTTCATGAGCAGAACCTCATATCATCTTTTGAGCTCTTCTATGAGGGTACCCAATATTATTACCCCTCCACTTATAGGTGGTATACTGAAGTGTAGAGAGATTAAACTACTTGGCCAAGACCTTCCTGTAAACCTTGACAGAATTAGCACTTAAAGATAGTTATCCAGAGCCTCCCCTGGTGGCGCAGTGGTTGAGCGCTGGGCTCTGCAGCGCAGGTTCATTCCCCAGCTGCCAGTGAGGGTCCCACCAAAAAAAAAAAAAAATGACAAGCAGGAAAAAAAAAAAAAGATAGTTCTCCATGACAGCACAGCTCACACTGTGACAACCACACTTGAATATCTTCATAAAAACAATAAATCTGCCTGAGGTATTGTTAGTGTGTGTGCTATGCTAACATATATGTAAAGAAGTATGAACCTATCCCCCTAAATCTTATAGTGTAATAAACCCCAACACAGTGTTATATGTCACAGCAAAAATAATAGTAACAATAAACATTCATCTAAAAAATTACAGATGCTGAAATGATTTTTAAAAAGAGCTAAATAGGCACTCTAAAAGCATACATGGAAAAACCCACATGTCATGGCAGACCTCTCCTGCCTCGCCCACTGCTCCCCTCAGCAGTGTTGGGTCCATCTGCCTGTACCGCTCCCTGCTCTGTTTCTGGTGAATTCTCTCAGCCTCCTGTGCCTCTGATCTGTACCCCAGGTCTTGTGTAAATAAATAAAATCTTTAAAAATAAATAAATAAAAATATACATGGCCAACAAGTGCATTAAAAAGTGCTCACCATCACTTACCATCAGGGAAGCGAAAACAAAAACTTCCATGAGACACCAGCTCACCCCTGTGAGAATGGCCCATCTCATAAAGACCTGAAACATGTGATGATGAAAGTTTGGAAGAAAAGGGACCTCATGCACTCTTGGTGGGAATGAGTCATCCACAGTGTTGTGAAACACTGTTACCTCAATAAGAAATACAACTATCCTGAAGAATTTAGTGAAGTTACAGGGACAAGATCAGCATGCAAATACAGATGTTCTATTCTCAAGCAATGACCCCTGACAATGAAATTAAGAAAGCAACTGCATTTACAAAAAATCTGAAAGAGTAAACCATTGAGAGATACAATTAACCAAAGATATGATTGAATTGTACTCTGAAATTTTTGAATAATGTTGAAAAGAATTTTAATAGATCTAAATAAATTTAAAGTTCCCCATATTGATGGTAGTTTTTCTTATTACTTGTTGTGAGATGTAGAATTTTATTTTATAAGTTTTCTAAAATAAAGACTATTCTTTGTATGGTGAAGTCTCTGAAGTCTGCCTGTGATTTTACCTGTGATCCTGAGTAGTGTGACAGGTATTTCTCTGAACTCCACAATTGCCTCACCATACTTCACTCAACATTCACTCATAAGCGTGTGAAGTATTTTCCAGAGTTATAACAAATTTCATTCATAGGGTATTTCCTTGATGTTTCAGAGATCTATAAAGAGATTGACCCTTGAAACATACTAATTGCTATTTTATGCCTTTCTTTTTAAAGGACACTGATTATTACATTTGGGCTCACCAAATATTCCAGGTAAATACCTCATTGTAGTACTCTTACTCTAATTATATATGCAAAGAACAAATTGATTTCTATCAAAAAATGTACAAAGTATGTTCTGACTCATGCAATATTTACAGAATCCAGGAACTGACCTGACATGTGTGAGAAAGTTTAT